ATGGGCCTCCTGGCCTTCTAGCCACTCAGGGACAGAAAAGCAGCCGGCAGGGCCGTAACAGAGAGGACACTCATGCCAGATCTTAGCCAAGGAAGAAGAGTGCATGCTGTCCCCACGCCCCAGCAGAATGACCCTGGAGCCAAAGCAGAGGTCCTAGGAAGATACAGTGTGACTGTCCATTACCCAGGCTCCAAAATGCAGCTCAGAGTCCCCAGATTCATATCACCCAAATTATAGGTGATTAATTAACAATAACAACAACAACAAAGTCCTCCTTTTACCATTCAAGAGAATTCTAAATGGAGCCTATGTGAGACATGCTGTCAACCTTCTCCCCAAACTCCCCTGGGACTCAGGACAACAGAGGCCTCCTTCTTCTCCACCCCATACCCATCCTACGGAGCTCCAGGAAAGCCCCAGACATCTTACATAGCCCCAGGCACTGGCCTATGATCACAGACATCTTGACCATAGAGGTTCTTCTAAACTAATTCAGATTGAAGTGTAATGGACTGAAATCTTGTCACAAAGGACCTAGACTTTCAAATTGGATCAGGTTGTAAGACACCTCAGGGTCAGAGGGACATGTGTACAAGGCAGCACCCACTCAGGGCCTGCCCCTGTCATTGGAGTGGCATAGGGGAATTGGTGGCAATAATCACAGAACACTGGCCTGTGGGCTACTAGGAGAATTCCACAGGCAGAGGCATAGCAGTAGCCCAGCACAGAGGTAGGCATAGGGTAAGTAACTCAGAAACTGAGTTGATACTGTTTCGATCATTTGAAGAAAACCAGGAAGTACTGAGGCGTTCAACAGAAGGTCAAGGCACATATCACACACTGTGCTAAGTCAGAGGCCCTTTCCCGCCCAGACCAGCGGCCGCAGGTGCCAAAGCTTTACACAAAAGCTCTAGGGAGAAAGACTTAGGACTGTGAAAAACGCTTTCCACTAAATGAACGCTGTCCGCAAACTGGGAAAAGACCACCATTAGTCAATTTGGCCAGTGGAACACCTGGGGTCCAGCTCTGGGAGCCTGGTGTTGACAGTGGAGTTTGGTAATCACAGAAGGTCCCATGAGGAATGGGACTCTCATGGTGGGATTCCTGGCATGTGAGGGGTTGGACGGGCCTGTGTTCCAGGGCTAGCTCTCCACCAGTAGATGCTGCCCCTCCCTGCAGGCCTCCCTTTTCCCCTCTGGAAGATGACTCCACTGGGCTGTGTCCATCTTTCTCCAAAAAGCTTTGGGGTTCTCTGGTCCTAGAAATTGATTGCAGACCAAGCTTTCTCTTCCACTGGAAACCTATCACCTTCATAGACCCCAGGAATGATCCCATCTGAGAGCAGGGTGCCTCAAGAAGGTTGGATTTGCTTATGACTTAGAAGCGAATTGGGTGAGGGGCAGGGAGGGGTAAGGAGGGCCCTCTCTTCTAAGGGGCTCATTTCCCCCTGAATGGCAGCCCACAGTGGCTGGAGCAGGTCAAATACAAGAAATAATAAATCCTAACCAAGGCTTTGCCCAGCCAGAAATGCGGCTGGCTCTTGTCCTAAAAAGATCTTATCCCCATGAGCCTGGGTGGAGGACTCCGCCCTCCCCACTGGGCCTTGGGCCTGCACCTTCTACTTCCTGTGACAACCTGCAAAACCAAAGCCCAACTGCACCCCCAGCCCAAGCTTCCCTCCACGTCCAGCCCCACCCCCACGTGGGCCCCAGCTGCAGGAGGGCCCTGCACAGTGTAATTCCCTTCACCCTCCTCTCCACCCTGGCCCGTCCGGACAGATTAAGCCTTTGTCACACACACCCAGAAAAGCTCAGGGCCAGATGGGACAGGACAAGTGGTGTCAGATCATCGACCCGCAGCCGGCCAGGACTAGGGAAGGGCCCCCGACCACAGCACTGCATATGGCTGGGGGGGGGGGGGAAGGGGAGGAGGAAAGGGGGCCCAGGGCAGGGGCCGCCAGAGAGCAACAAGGAAGAGAGATGACACACTATGGCCTTACCCTTGGGACTAAGGCCATACACGGCTCTTGCTGCTGCTGCTGGGTGACCCAACTCTCAGGCCCCTCTTCCTTGACATTTCTGCCTGCTTGCCTTCTCTGGAAGCCTCCAGAAGCTTTACCACATCCTCAGCCATGCTTACTTCTCGTACCAGCTCAGTGCCCTAGGACCAAGTGCTGGGCCCCACCCACCCCACGTGTCCAGGGCTCATCTTGAGGCTTGCAGGTTGCAAATAAATGCATTGGACAAATGTTTATGACTCAATGACCTTCACAAAAACCCACCCAAGACAAAATTACAAGATCTCTCCCAAATAGCCCTAGAGGCAGTGACAACTTTAGTGTGTGTGTGTGGGGGGGGGGGGGGGTATGGTCAGTGAAGGCAGGGGATGTCTTTTGCACCTTTCAAAGAAGGTCCCATTCAGTCCCTGCCATGGCTGCCCCAGAATTCCCTGCAAGATTTCTTCCTCTTAGACCAGTGAAAAGGAAAATGGGAATATAAAAATGATAATGGAACCCAGGAAGGCACTTGGCAATGGGGGTGGCAGCACTCAGGGCATCTCCTGTGGCTGGCTCCTGCTAGCTGGGAGAGTGGCAGGTAACTAACGGGCTCTCTGGGGACTGGCAGGCCAGGCAGGCTGGCGTGGGAGCTGGAGGGGAGGACTGTCACAGGAGGGCATGTCTGTTGTATTTGCTGTCTTCCTGGCAGCCTGGACTGGGAAGCCGGGGTCCCCATTCTCTGCCTCCCAGACTGGTGGGCCCTTGAGGAGGTTTATTATTGGTGTGAGAGGCAGGGTTGGAGGCCTGTGCAGTCCCTGCTCTAGAGGTGGACAGGGTGGGTCTAAGGAGGCCTAGCACCCAGTGGCCTGGGTGGGAGCATTTCTCGGTTTTGACAGTTACGTGAACAGGGGATAGACGGATTGCCTGCCTCACCATGCCCACCACCTTGGAGAGGGCTCACAGAGAGCCAGTAAGACAGCTGCCAGGTGGGGGTGTCACCTCCAACTCCAGTGGTGCGTGGTTTAGGGGCTCCTGCCTCAGACTAGGAAAGAGGCTCGATTGTGATTCTCAGGTGCCCACGAGAGATGACCAGAAAGAGGGGTGGGGCAGGGTACTGACCTGGGAAGCCCTGTGGGCAGAGGGCACTGATCCAGGGTGGGGGGCACAGCCCCAGCCAACCATTTGGTGGGTCAGTGACTGGGAAAAGCCATCTTCAGGCGGAGCTCTGGTCCAAGATGGAGAAAAGCGAGGCTCGGGTACCAAACTACTAGGGTGGGGAGGGCTAACCTAGGCTGAGGCCATGTCTCCTACTCCCCGAGTGGGCAGTGATTTGGCTAAAGGGAGGGTCTTGGACTCAGGAGGGGGGACAATGACCCAGACCCCCTGGGTTTGGAGGAGACCAAGGGTCTCTGGCTCGCGCCAGGGGGGCGCACCCCACGGTTCCTCCCGCTCCGGGAACCGGGCCGGGCAGGCGCGTCCCTCGGCCCTGCCCCTGTTCCCTGGCCGGCGGGCCGGAGGCGGCCGCGGCGCAGATGGGCGGCTGGCGGCCGCGGCGCGGTTATCGGCGCTCCTCGCAGATGGGCCGCCCGCCCGCCCGCCCGCCCGCCCTCCGCGCTCGCGGCGCCCCGCTCCCCGCGGCCTGCAGCCCCGTCCCCCGGGCGCGGGGGGGAGGCGCCTCCGGATCTGCTCCCCAGCTCCCGCCCCCCTCCCTGGCGGCCCCCTCACCCCGCGGGCCGGGCCCGGGCGGCCGCCGGCGGGGAGGGGGAGGGGACAAGTGCACTTTTCGTAACGACCGAATCAATTGTGTGTGAAGAGCCCGCTCCGGCCGGGGACGGGGCTGAGCGCGGGGCGGGCGGGCCGGACGGGGGAGGAGCGGAGGGGAGGGGGGGGGTGAAGGAGGAGGGAGGCCGGCGCGGGGCGGCCCGGCTCTCGCGCTCCGGCCGGGCGAGGCCAGGGAGGGATTGGGGGGCACCGGGGGCGGGAAGGGAGGGCACCCAGGCCGGGCCGGACCGGGGGTGGGACGCACTGGAGAGGGTCTCCGCGATGGAAAGTTCAAAGCTCAGCAGCGCCCCGGGAGCGGCCGCCCCCCTCCAGCCCCCACCCTCTGCAGAACAATAAGGTCCCGGCGGGGAGCCGCGGGGCCCGCGCCGCACGCCCTCTCCAGGGCGCCCCGGGCCGGAGGGGACGCCCCCGCCCGGCCGCCGGCCTCCCTCCCTCTCGCCGGCTGCGGCTCCCCGCCCCCTCCCCCGAGCGTCCCCGCCCGGACCGGGCCGGCCCCGGGGACGGGGGAGGGGAGAGGATGGATAGGTCAGGCCGCCCCCGTCCCAAGGAGGGGGGAACGCGGGCCGGGGAGGGGGGCGGAGGGGGCGCCCCACCCACCCGCGGGAGGCCGCTCCTGCGCCAGGCTGCGGCTCCGGCCGCCCCTCCCCGGGCTAGCGCCGGGTGGGGTCGGGGCGGCAGTGCCCCGGCTGGCCCCCTCCCCAGGCGCTGGGAGGCCGCGCGGACTCCCGGTCCCGTGGCTGCCCCTGGCTCCCCACCCCCGCGGCACCACCCTGCACACACACACGCGCGCGCACACACACACACACACACACACCCGCACACACACCGCCCAGCCGGCCGGGGGCGGGAGCGCGAGGCGCCCGGGACAGGCAGCCCCGGGGCGGGGGGGGGGGGGGGTGGCTCGGGCTTCGCAGCAGCCGCCTGCTGGCGGGGGGAGGGGACGGGAGGACGAAACACGCTGGGGTGAGCAGCCCGGGACAGCCCGCCCGACCCCGCCACGGCCCCGGGCAGCGGCGCAGAGGGGGGCAGGGAAGCCCCAAACCCGTTGCTCTGCCCGGGCGAACCCGGGCGGACTGGGGAGCCAGGGGATGCGTGCACCTCGGGCAGGCGGGACACACCGACAACCTCAACGACACACGTTCGGACACACATCCCCACCCCCGCCCCCGCCCGCCCGAGCCCCGCCGCGGGACCGGCCCGTGGCCGCCGCGCGCGCACTCACCGAGCCCGTCTTGACCGGCACATACACCACTTGGCCCATCTTGGGTTCCCGGCCGCTGCCCAGGCGGAAGCCCTTGGAGCGCACCCAGAACTGGAACTTGCCTTTCTCGCCGGCCGCGGGGCCGCTGCCCGCGCCGGTCCCGCCGCCGCCCTGCAGGACCTCGGCGATCCGCTGGTATTTGCTGCGTGTCACCGTCTTGGTTTTGGCCGAGTCGCCGTAGGTGCGCAGGCACCAGTCCCGGAACTGGCGGCCCAGCTCCGAGTCCCCGGGGCTGCGCTCGCGCTCCCAGCCCCCGCGCAGCAGCAGCGTCGGCTTCGGCATCCTCCCGCCGCGCCCGGCGCCCTCGGGGGCGGGCCGGCCACCGGGCCGCCCGGTGCTGGGACTGGGCTGGGCCGGGCCGGGCCGGGCTGAGCCGGGGCGCGCCGCGGCCGGGGCTGTCCCGCGGGGTGGCTCCGGCGCAGCGGCTCGGATGGGCGCGGGCGGCGGCCGGGCGCGCGGGGCTGCGGCGCGCTCTGTCCTGCTCGGGCGGCGGCGGCGGCGGCGGCGGCGGCGTTGGCGGCGGCGGCTCCGGCTCGCCTCCTGCTCCGCCTCCTCCTCCCCCCGGCCGGGATGCAGGAGCGATGGAGGCAGCTCCGGGCCCGGAGGTGCAGAGGGGGCGGGCCGCCCCGCGGGCGGCCGAGGGAGGCGGGAGGCGGGGAGCGGCCCCGGGCACGGGGAGCGAGACCGAGCCTGGGCGCGGGCGGTAGCGGTGGCTGTCAGCTTGCGCGGCTCATCCTGCTCCAGCTCGGGCTCGGGCTCGGGCTCCCGCTGCCGCTGCTCTTCCTCCTCCTCCTCCTCTTCCTCTTCTTCCTCCTCCTCCTCCTCCTCCCGCGCCCGCCTCCACCACGCCGCGGGATCCCACCTGTTAGAGCGGCGCAGCCTGCGCCGCCGCCCGCCCCCCTCCTCCCTCCCTCCTTCCCTCTCTCCCTCCCTCTCACCCTCCCTCCTGTGCCCGCGCGCCCGGCGCAGCCCCCGCCCGACCCGGCCCCTGGGGGCGCGGGGGCCTCAGCACCCGCAAGCAGCCGCAGGCAGCCCAGTGGCTGCCCGGGGACCGAGGCCCCCTGGCCGGCCCAGCCCGGACCCTGGCAGGCCGCGCTCTGCTGGGACTGGCTGCCCAGCGGGGGAGCAAACACCAACCCAAGCGGGGACGACGGCGTCCGGGCCTCCCCGGGTCGCCCCGTTTGATTTAGCCCAGCCCAGGCGATATGGGGCAGAAATTGCCCTGATCTCTTTCACGTCAGCCTGGTGTCGGAAGGGCGGTGTCCTGTCTCCCCCCCCCACACACACACCCAGCCTGGAGAGCCCCAAACTGCCGCCTTTCGGGGCCCCCAAACTTCCTCTCCTTGGCCTCACCCTGAATTTCCCGAAGTTTGGGCCGACCTCGCCTCTGCGGGCCGCCTTGCCGTGGGGCAGCCCCAGGCCGCAGCGACTCCGGGACTCCGGCCCTCCCGGAGCCTCGCTCCGCCAGCCCCGCTGTGCTTCAGAAGACCTTGACACACCCACAAACGCATCCTGGGACGAGCTGCCTTCCCGGGTGCACCTTGGCCTAGAATCTGTTGCTGAATAAACTTAGGTGACCGCACATCCCCCTCTCACCCTGGCAGATCTGACCTTGGGTAGCGCTGCCCCCTCCCCTGAAGGAAAGTAGCAACATAAATAAAGGCACAAGCTATTTCCCCCAGGATTTCTGCCCTCTTATCTTAACAGGTCATGAAGAACTGCTGTGCTCTCTCTCTCTTTGCTATCTCCTGGGGTTCGTTCCTATGACCCCAGACCACTCTTGCAGGCAAATCACCGCATAAGAGCTGACCCCCAGAACTTGGTCAGTGCGGAACCATTTTCTGCCTAGCAACTACTGGCTTCCCATCCCAAAGTCTTTGAGCCTACTGTGCCATGTCTGGCGGTGCTGAGAGGCACAGGGGACAGGGATATCCCTGTTTCACAGATGGAGGCCAGGGGCTTGGAGAGGTGGCCTGACCTGCTCAAGGTCATAGGAATTGAGGAGTGGGTTTTGGCTCAGTTCTGTCTGGCACCTGCTACCATATCACACCCCCGCTGGGAGAGAGCCCAACACTGCAGTACCTGGCTTGCTTCCTTTCCCCCCTCCCCACAGACAGGGAGCCCCAGATGCTCAAGGCCAAATCTGACTCATCCCTGCATTGCCAGACCCCATCTCAGCACCTGGCACACAGTAGGTGCCAATAAATGTTGGAAGAACCTAAGAGGTCTTCCAAGTCCCAACCTCTCTCTGCATTTCACATGGGAGATTATTTTTAGATAATTTACATTTCCATGTTACTTTATATACACCAACAACTCCACAGTCATTTTTCCTCTTTATCTTTCCAAGAGCTCTTTTTGGATCTATGCAGCCACACCTACTTTAAAGAGGTGACCACTGGGAACTGGGAGTGACGGCACACAGTTGTAAATCCCAGGGACTTGGGAGGCTGAGTCAGGATGATTGGAAGTTCAAGGCCAGCTTCAGCTATAGATTAAGGTCAAGGCCAGCCTGGACTACATAGTGAAACTCTGTAAAATAAATAAATAAACAAACAAACAAATAAATAAATAAATAAATGTGACCAGTGGGGCTCTGTGGGAAGGTAGTATCCACAGACTATTTGCCCCTGGGACACAGGCTTCTGTGTGATTTGAAAGCCCATGCTGTTCTTCCCCTCCTCCTCCCCCACCATGTAATTACTCCCCCCGCCCATCCCTTCCTGAGAGCAAAGTTGTGCAAGCCTGGCAATGCTAATAATCACTTTGATCAAGGGTACCCTGTTGCCCCCATAATGGGGCCTCCAGGTGAGCCCAGGTCTTCTTGCTCAGTTCCAAGACCTCTTCAATAACCACTAGGCAAAAGTATCTCCATTCCCCAACTCTTTGCCTACCTTTGGGAGCCATACACCTGCTAGTCCATCTTGGGCTGCGTTCTGGGATGGAAGAAGGTACCATGTGTATAGAGAGAAGGACGCAGGCTTCAGGTAGAGTTAAACAGACTTGGAATTGAATCTTACCACTACTTCCCACAGCTCCTTCCTGCTTATAGATTCCACTTGCTTCTTCCCAAATGAATGAACCCTTTTGATAGGTGACCTCAGGCAGGTCACTAGACCCCTACTTCATCTCTAACATACGATGTGACTCAAGATCATGTATGTGAGAGTAACTGGCATAGGAGCTGCAAAATATTCAGTAAAGATGAATATTGGTGATGCTTTTTGCTTGTGTGTGTGTGTGTGTGTGTGTGTGTGTGTTTCATTCCTTCAACAAAGGTTAGTTGAGTAGTCATTCTGCAGCTAGTGTTGGGAATAGGATCCTGGGATCCCCAAGGTCCTAGATCTCCCAGAGCTCCCCCAGTGGTAGAGGAAGATAGCCATTGAGCAAAGCAGCTGTCAATCATCAGTTTGTAGAAAGGGCCAGGATGGGAATAGGGATTTAGAATAGCAACTAGTACATAGAAGGTGCAGACTTTCTTGAGAGGGAGGGGTGTTAAGGAAGCCCCCTCAAAGAAGGCAACACAAGCAATGACTTAAATGACAAGTGCCTGGAGCTGGCCATGCTAGGGACTAAGCAAAGGGCATTCCAGGTAGAGGGCCAGCAAGGGCAAGAGCCTGAGGTGAGAAAGAGATAGCATTTTCCAGAATCAAGGATGAGGTGAGTGGTGGTGGGGGGGGGGGGGGCGGGGAATTGGAAGGCAGGAGTGTCAAAGACCAGGGGGGGAACAATGCTGTAGAAGGCATTGGTGAGCATTATATAGAACAGATTCTGAGGCACAAAAAGAAAATGAGGGGTGTAGGTTCGGGGGTCTGTGGTCAAAGGACTTGAGGACAGAGGCCTGGCTTTCTCCTCTTGTGTTGGCCCACCCCACGCTAGGCACACCCAGCTTTCGGTCCCTAGAGGCGCTGAGGACAGAGTGGAAGTGACTGGGCCGGGAAGTAAGAATGGCCTCTCGCAGCCTATCTCCATTGCTGCAGACAAAGAGGTTTGGACCTCCATTCTGTTCATGTGGGAAGTGTTCTACCCCAAGGCATACAGGGGAGGTGGGGGTGAGTTGCCCCCACCCCACACACACACCATGCCCCGATTTGAGGGGGGCCAGGAAGTCATGGTCCTCCAAACTGCTTTTCTCTCCCTCTCCTCCCACACACAGACCAAGGGGACAAAGTAGGTTGCCCACAGACCAAAGGCCAAAAGATGCTCTGGATTGTTTTTAGCTCTTAGTGCAGATATCCAAACCTCTAGGGTTCACATCCACTTCCAACATTGCCAGCAGTGTACAGGGTCACAGAGCTCAGTAGGAGGGTAAACGGAGTCCTGTGGAAGGGAAGATGCTCAGGGACACAGGGCAGAGCTGATGCCTGGTTTTACCTGGACCTGCTCTGATCATCTGACTTGCTAAATTCTGCCTGGCTCCAGATGAGTGAGAACTCCTCCACCTCAGCAGTGAGGAGGCCCAAGCTGCCCACGGGAAGTTCCAGGCCTGGGAGACAGGGCAGAGTGACTCAGGTCCCCACACAGACTTGTCCTCCATGAGCAGGGAAGAGCAGGCAGCTGTAGAGCCTTGGGAAAGGCTTGTTTCCCATGCCAGGGCCAGTACCACTTTCATCAAACCCTTTGCCATCCCCATCCAAAGCATTTATCCACCCACCCTCTGTTTGCCCAGCTGTTAGGCATCAGCTCTAGGCCTGCTCTGTCTGGAAAGCCTTCCTGTACAGCTAGGGGGCAAAACTCAAATGGCAGAGGGCTGGCCTCCTGTGGGTAAAGCCTTGGGTTCAAACTCCAATATCAGAAAAAAAAAATTATTTGTCACTTGTAAAGCTTGAATTCAGAGCCTGGGCACTGTACCTGAGCTTTTTCACTCAAGGCTAGCACTCTACTAGTTTGAGCCACAGCACCACTTCCAGTTTTCTTAGTGGTTAATTGGAGATAAGAGTCTCCTGGACTTTCCTGCCCAGGCTGGTTTTGAACCATGATCCTCAGATCTCAGCCTCCTGAGTAGCTAGAATTACTGGTGTGAGCCACCAGCACCCAGCTTAAATTTTTTGTTATTAAAAAGGTGATGTACAGAGGGGTTACAGTTACATAAGTCAGATAAGAAGTGCATTTCTTTTTGGACAATGTCATCCCTTCCCTCGCTCTTCTCCAATTTTTTCCCTCCCATTCTCACCCACAACCTATACAGTTCATTTTCAACATAGTGTCTAGTGAATACTACTGCTGCATTTGTTCACCCTTTGTCCCTCCATTACCCTCTTACCCTCCCAAAGACAGATAAA